AATCTCTCTCTCTATTTACTTACTGCTCATACATTTCATGAATGCTTATTCTAACTGCGAACTAACCCGATTACGATTTATCGCATATCTTTATCTGTCTGGGTTTGATAGTTCCCACGTTTGCATGCAAGCCAAACTTTACGTACATCATCTTTGAACCATATCAAGTGTTTCTAACGTGTTGCATGTTTAGAATATCTCTTTGACCACCGCACTTATAAGCATAACACTTTACAGCTACCTATTCCGCTGCACACTCTAAGTTGTTTATCTTGTTGATGCTTGTTACTTAGAGTTGAAATTATCAAAGTGTTATTTGCCCTGTGTGTTTTTGAAGAAAGTTTGAAAAGTTAAGAGAAGTCTATTCACCCCCTCCCCCCCCCCCCCTCTAGACTTCTCGCCACCCTTTCGAGACCAACATATATATATATATATATATATAAATAGGGATACACTCAGGTGCGAATAAGTGCTCAGGAGGGAAATGGGAACGAATCAGCGCGCGACACGTGTCCAGATCTAATAACTTAAAAAAAAATGCGGTGGCATTTTCGTAAATAATTGAACATCGAAGTGCAAGTAAAATCACTTACAAGTGCACCTACTTTCACCTATAAGTGCATGTAATTTTGCCTTGTTAGCATTCACTTTCCGCAAACATTCATGCACCTGGGTGTGCTTATAACTATATGTGCAACTATTTATAACTATAAGTGCAACTACTTATAACTATAGGTGCACCTACTTTCACCTATAAGTGCATGTAATTTTGCCTTGTTAACATTCATTGATCGGAGTTCAGCGGGTAATAATAATAATACCCCTGAAAACCACTCGCAAACATTCATACACCTAGGTGCAAATACTTATAACAATGTGTGCAACTACTTAGAACTATAGGTGCAACTACTTAAAACTATTGGTGCAACTAAGTATTGATGCTCAGTGTAAATTTTTACTTGCACCTATAATACATTTTACATGCACTTGTAATACATTTTATTTGCACTTCGATGTTCAATTATTTACGAAAATGCCACCGTATTTTTTTAAAAAATCAGGGTTTCTCATCCATTAGATCTGGACACGTGGACGAACAGAATTCATTCCTATTTCGCGCCTGGGTAAAGCATTCGCACCTGAGTGCGATTATATATATATATATATATATAAAATTTACTCATATTCTGCACTATGTTTTTAGTTTGTGAATTAATAACATCCTTTAACGAATTTAATTGAATTAAAATCAAATATCCTAATTTAGGTCCGGTACTTGCATTTTTGCAATGTATAATTTAACAATTTAATTTATATAGTTTATTTAATATTTTAAAAATACAATTTTAACAATATAGTTCCGATTTTGTAAATATTACACGGAATTCGTTGAACCAATTCATAAATGAGTCAATTGAATAACAAATATTTATACAAATCTATATTAATAGTCAAATTAATAATAAATTTTATTAATTATTAATTATTAGTTAGCATAATATTAATTTATGATATTTTTGTAGAATAAAAAATATATTAATTATGCTCACATGAGCGTTGCACGGTCTAATTAGTAGTATAAATTATTTATATAATTTCCTAATATTAATAGTAAAATTAATAATAAATTTTATTAAGTATTGACTAGTTAATTATGCTTTGTGATATACTACGAAGAAATGGAGGAGCCTAATTGTACATGTCTCTATTAATTGAATAAAAATTATTTTAAATATGACAAAATATAGGCTAATTAATTATTAAATATTATTATGATAATATTACATGGAATTGTTTGAACCAATTCATAAATGAGTCAATTGAATAAAAAATATTTTAAATATGACAAAATATAGACTAATTAATTATGAAAATATTATTGTGGTAATATTACACGGAATTGGTTTAACCAAATCATAAATGAGTCAATTGAATAAAAAATATTTTAAATATGACAGGATATAGACTAATTAATTATGAAAATATTATTATGGTAATATTACACGAAATCGGAATTGGTTGAACCAATTCATAACTGAGTCAATTGAATAAATTATAAAATATATTAACGTGTACATTTTTTGAATTAGGAAATAATTAATGTGTATTCCTGATATGGTATTATGTAATATATATATATAACCAAAAATTAATTAACAATACATGAAATATTATGAATATAGACTAATTAATGAATTAGGTATTAACGTTTACCTTTTTTTGAATTAACTTGTATTCCTTATATGATATTATGTAATATATATATAAAACAAAAAATTAATTAATATTACACAGAATATTATGAATATAGACTAATTAAAATATAGACTAATTAATCATGAAAATATTATTAACGTGTACATGTTTTGAATAAGGAAATAATTAACGTGTATTCCTTATATGGAATTATATAAACAAGGGAATAATTAACGTGTATTCCTTATATGGAATTATATAAATAAGGAAATAATTAACGTGTATTCCTTATATGGAATTATGTAATATATAAATATTTCAATAAAAATATTCTACATCATAAATTAAAATGGAACGAAAATTAGGTAAAAATATCACTATATCTAATATTCTAATTGACTAATTGACAGGATATAAAAAATAAATGCTGAAAATAAATCTGATATTACTAATTGACTGAAAATATAAAAGAATCACTAATTGACTGATATTCTACCATTATATATTTTCACTCGAGTCACCCATCCTGATGGACTAAATGTGTTAGCTCTAGACGAAGATGGACAAGATTGTGTTGCTACTACCAATGCTGTTTACAAAGAGATTTCAATAACGTGTAAATAAAATCGGATATTATGTTTTTTTTTAATGGCAAAATTGCTATAATTCTAGACAAAAATATATTTTCCATACAAATGAATTAGGATATCAATTCATTCTTATAACTGAGTTGCTAGACAACAAGCACATTTCCCTAATTTATAAAAATAATGAACAATGATAAATAAAATGTCCAAAGTTACAGCACCGCATGCGCACATCTACACATTAGCTATTAATTTGAGCAATTATTTGTTCAAATTCAAGCAATGATAACATAAAAACACATAAACGATCCAAACTATACCTTCAATTGCACTATATAATATTTGATGTTCTAGTTTAAATAATTATATATCGATCCAAATATATTACAACAAATCCATTCCGTGCATCGCACGGGTGAAAATACTAGTTATGATAAAGAGTTGGATATGATACATGCATCTACAATTCCATTACATATATATAATATTAAGAGGTCTCAGGTTCGAATTCCAATGTGCGAGCATTAACTCTTTGTACTTTAGTAGGAAAATTGTGATATTGTCACATTTAGTTATATTATTTTAATTTTGTCACATTATCACCGACTTTTATTTGTTTGTCACAATTAATTCATCGTTTAAATTTGTGTTATTTCACCATTTAATAAAGAGAACTAACATGTAATTTTATTATTCAAGCATCTATTCCAACATATAATTTCTCTCCCTCTTATAAACTTTTTTAATTGAATGATTAAATTACATATTAGTCATATTTATTAAATGATAGAATAATAAAATCTTAAAAAGAGCACTAATTGTGAGTTTGTGAAAAATTAATAAAAGTTAAGAATGTAATGTGAAAAAAATTTAAAAAGCATGATTAAATATTAGGTGGCATACTGTAATAAGTAACGACTAATTGTAAACACACAAAAAAGAGAAGAAAAAATGGTCAAATAAGTCATCGAATTTACCTAAGAAGTCAATTAGGTTCTTAAACTTTTTAAAGTAGTAATTAAACAATCAACATTGTATTTTGATGCAATAAGGTCCAAAAACCAATCAGTGACCTGCTATGCCGGAGTTGACTAAAATGTTGACCAAAACCCTAATGACCGGTGATAACAGATCACTAACCGATTTTTGGATTTTATTATACCAAAATATTGATAACATCAGAAAACATAATCGGTGTAACTCAATTTTTCAATTATATTATATAATATTCGATGTTATAATTTATACAATTGTATATCAATTTAAATATTTTAAAAATTTTATAACAAATTCATTCCGTGCAACGCACGTGCACAAATACTAGTTGTAGATAAAAATACAATGTTGATAAGTTTAATTGTTACTTTAAAAATTTTAGTAGCTTAATTAATTTTTTTAGATAAAGTCGGATGGTTTAATGGACCCTTTTTCCCAAAAAAAGAAAAAATCACCAACATATACACAACACATTACACCCCGCACCCGATGCATTTACGATACCGGCGCACAATAGCCTGAGCCGTAATATATATATATATCTCATGCATGTCTGTCCATTTTCCACCATTCCCCTCTCCCTCTTCTCTGCTAAAATAGCAAACTCAGAACTCCAAAAAAAGCCCTTTCGATCCTCTCCAGCAACAAAAACCTCTCTTGTTTTAGCACTCCACCAGTTTCATTACCGTTGAAAGTTGGAAAATTTTTCTTCACATTTTATACCGAAGCATAAAAGGTAAAAATGGTCTCGCATTTATATGCTTTCTTATTTCTTAAGCTGTATATATATATATATATGTATGTATGTATTTTCTCGTTTTTTCTTGTGTTGTTCAGAGAGGAAACTGGAGGTTTAGTTGAAGTTACTGGTTTTTGAACGCGCAGATGGACTTAAGAACTCCTTCTCCAAATGGAGCCCGCAAAAGGCCTTTCTCAGATGTTTACTCTGAACCACCGCCCAAAAAGAGGATTAGCGATGAAGATGGAGGTGCGAGTGGTGGTTATAAGAAACAAGTTTACTCAGAAATGGACAAAAGGAAGCAACACATGGAGGATACGAGCGGTGTTCAGAAAGGTCAAACATTTAGTTTCCGAGTTCTTCTTCCAAACGGTACCACTTTGGAGATGAAAATCCGCGAACCCGGTAGTGCTATGTCCTTTGATCAGCTTCTGGAAGCTATACAGGGAGAGTATTTAGCCTTGAAGTGCAGAACTGAGTCGCACAGGAAGCAGATTAATTGGAAGAGCCCCAACTTGTATATTTTGGATCCTTTTGACAAGAAGGTTTTTGACTTGGATTTCAGCAAGTACAATCCCAGAGAATCCTATTTGTTAAGGCTTCGGGTCAGTTTTTTGCCTTTCTGTTTACATATTTCTGTTCTTTTCGTTTTGCTCATTTTGATAAATTCCATTTCAATACAGGATGGCACAGTTGAAGCAAAAACATTTGAGGTTTGTTGCTATTTTATTTTATTTTGCTATTTTAAGAATGTGAATCTTTGCTCAGTCTGCCTGATTCAAATAGCAAGTGACTTCTCCTTTTTGGGTTTTGTAGAATATGTGGGATCTTACTCCAGATACTGATTTGTTAAAGGAGTTACCTGAAGAATACTCATTTGAATCTGCCCTTGCTGACTTAATTGTAAGCATTTCACTTTCGGTTCATATACAATATAATAATTTTGTAGTGACTCACTTTATGTATGTGCTTATCAGGATAATTCATTGCAAGCTGTATGGTCTAATCATGAGAATGAGAGGAGATTAATCAGGTATGAACTTTTGAAGTTGATTAATTTGTTGGTTTTTCAAGTGAACTATCAAATTTTTGGTGGCATTTTCCATTTTCGCTTAAACTGTCACTTGATTATTTGCTTCAATAAATTTTAAAATTGACCTATACTTCACTCTATTTGCAGTGTGAAGTTGTTCAAGGACAGGATTAGAATATTTGATTCAGGCCCTGGAATGGATGGGAGTGCTGAAAATTCTATAGCAAAGTGGTATAAGTTATTTGGTTTGTTGATTTTACTTGGAATGTAAAGAATTTTATTGAAGTGGTGTCTTCCAAGGTGGTTAATACAATTTTCTAGTTACTGTCTCAAGGAAATGAAGTTACTCAAATAAACTACTTAAGTGGTTTAAAGAGTCTTAATTGTGTTGTAAAGTGCCATAGTGAGTGATAGCAAATGAAAAAAATGTCATTTCCATTTAATGTTAGGGTTAACTCTTAGGGTTTCCTTAATAAGTGATAAATTTATTAGGTGCTAGGAAATTTATGGATCTCTGAAAGTTAGTGGTTGGTTCTTTTTACTGTTTACTCCCCTTATAAGGGAATATATAGACAACATTGCTTTGTATTAATATTGTACCTTAAACGCTTTTGCATTGCATAGTAATCTTGACAGTTCATTATTATAGTACTTCTTAAGTGCTCATTACTATACCTTCATGACAGATTTATCTTCTTTTGTCTCTTTATATGTTTTCGTTTACTTTTCAGGGGAAAAATGGGGGCATCTCTACACCGGTCATCAAAAGGAAAGGCCATAGGATGCAAACCTCCTTACCTTAAGGTGATTGATTTTATTTTATGGTAGCATCTTATCAGATTATACAAATGTATTAACGAATTAACATTATGGGAGGATAAAGACTTACATTTTGAAACTTTTAAGATTATCGAAATGTGGCATCTAGAGAATGTGTTCAGGTTTTGTGGCCAAGTGATATTCACTATGTTACCTCTAATATACTTAATTGCGATTGCAGCCTTGTTTCGGGATGTTTGGGTATGGAGGGCCTATTGCATCTATGCATTTGGGAAGGTATGAATTGTTAAAGAAATTCTGTGTCTTATCTTCAGCTAAATAAGGGAATAATACTCATGTATGCTGTGGTATTACAGGCGAGCTGTTGTTTCCTCAAAGACAAAAGCATCGAAGAAAGTGTATATATTACATCTAGAGAGAGAGGATTTACTCAGCTGTTCCTCTTCTGACAAAACTTGGAGGGTGTGGATTATTCTTCTCTCTCTCCCCCCTCGTCTCATCCCTATCATTGTCTCATGTTTTTGTGTTTTCCATCTTACTATTGCAGACTAGAGGTGGTCTTAGAGACCCCTTGGATTCTGAAATTCAAGAATCACCCCATGGAAGTTTTACCAAAGTAACATTTTTTCCATTCTCTTCAGTTTAAATCACTTCTTTCATATGCTCTTTTATTTTTATATGACTTTATAAAGCATTAGTGTGGCTTTGAATTTTTTATACTGACAGGTTGAGATTTTTGAACCAAAAATGAGGTTTCAAGAAATAAAGAAACTACAAGGCAAACTGAAAGACATTTACTTTCCTTACATTCAGGTATGTTGGAAGTTTTCATACATAAAAATCGATTCTTGTGATTACTTCTAACCCTTTCTCATCTACTGATTGCTTCCATTTCCATGGGCAGTGTGATGAAATATCTGAAACAGGACGAACGACAATGCCTACTGAATTTCAGGTCAATGAAACTAATTTGGCTGAAGTCTTGGGAGGAGAAGTGGCGATTACAAACCTATTCTCTTGTAATGGTCCAGACTTCACATTGCAACTGCGTTTCACTTCAGATTCTTCAGGAATAGGAAATCAAGAAGCAAATGCTCGCCTTAAATGTGTTTATTTTCCAGTTACTCAGGTATTATCTTATTGTTTTTCTCCATCTTCTTTGCCAAATGGAATTTGGAAATGCTTTTTTAATGAAAACTAACATTCATGTCTCTGCTCCAATGCTGTTGAGAGTAGGGTAAAGAAAACATTGAAAGGATAATTGAGAACTTAAAGGATGATGGTTATGAGAAGCTAGAGAACTTTGAAAGTTTTAGCCGTGTTACTGTCCGACGCTTGGGTCGCTTGCTTCCAGATGATCACTGGGTTTGTCAATTTGAACTGTTCTTTAATTAATACTAATTATTAATTGTAGATTTTTTTTTTTAAATTTATTTGGAGCCAATCACACAATCTTGTTTTCATTTTAGCCTTGGCTTCCGTTTATGGAACCCAAACAAAGAAAAGGAGAAACCCTTAAAAGATGCTGCTTTAGAGTAAAGTGTTTTGTAGGTACGACCATTGTTTATTAACAACTAGTACCACAGCGTTAGTGTAACAATTATTTGCTTCCTAAAATGATGTTTAATTTGCAGATACTGATGCTGGTTTCAACCCAACGCGAGCAAAGGTATGAATTATTGGCACTTATCGTTTTGGTTTCAAATTGTTCCAATAATGCAAATGCAATTAATATGGATCAGATTTTTCATGCTACGTATTTCTTCTCGCTTTGACTGATCTCTAAATTTCATTACCTAGACAAATTTAGCGCATTGCAGTCCTTTTACCGTTGCGCTAAAGAACTTTGGCAACAAAACCCCCGAGAAAGGTACTAGATTTTCATCTATCAATTGTTCAATTTTTTTTTTTTTTTTAAATAAAATAAATTAAACGGTAAATTGTTTTGTTGCTCATTGTGGTGGACAATACTTCTCTGTAGATGTACATGTTGAAATTTACAAGGATGGAAATGAGTTGCCTTTTTCACAACTAGAAAAGCAATATCATGAATGGATCTTTAAGATGCATGAAAAATATGATTTGGAAATTGAATCAGGCGACGATCAACCTACCCTTGTACTAGGCTGTGAGAACAGAAAAGAGCTTGGTACATCATCTGATGGTAAGCATTGCAATTTGCATACATATTTAGTGGAGGTTATTCCTTATATCATTTGTCTTGTTTTGTATCACACAACTGCTTGACATATATTCTCACATTAAAATCATTTATTTTCAATACTAATGTTGTTTTTTGTTCCTATGGTTCGACTTTTTTAGTTTTGAGGGTTCATAAAACTCTCAAGAGGAAAGGGATTACCTGGAAATCAGGTCAGAAAATCAAAATTCTGAAGGGAGCATGTGCAGGCTTTCACCGGGCACACACTTTTGCCACTCTAGAGTTTATCATCCTTGAAGGATGTGAAGGCGATGTTGGTGGTAGGTTCAGAACTTAATGGTTAATATATTAGTGTTTAAGTATTAGCTCCATTAACATTCTTGTTCTTTTGCTAAACTAATAAGTTTTCTTTAATTATATGTAGGTAATGCTAGGATTATCTGCAGGTAAGTTTGTTACTTGAAGTTTCAATATATTTCTACCAGGATCTAAAGCTTCTTTCTTTCATTTGTGTTGCACGTTTAGGCCACTGGGAGTCCCCACTGAGGATGGTTGCAAACTTTCTTTTGATAAAGGAATTGCTAACATAGATCTACGTGGGTCTAAATCTTTACCATTTAGTGTCATTGATTCCAAGAAGGTAATTTTACTTCATTTTCTGAAGATTGATGGTTCAGTGTTGAGCATATAGCCATTAATGTGCAATCCAACTATTAGCTTAAGCTTTTACACAACTGAAAATTATGGAATTTCAGACCACATGAAAGTGATCTTAAATCAAGTTGATACCAAAAAGTGGTCGAAAATAGCAACAAAGGTTTTTCCGGATACCAAAAGTGGTCGGAACAAGGCTTTCAACTTGATTTAACATCACTTTTAGGTGGTCGGAAATTCCATAATTTCCAGTAGTGTTAGTTGAGATGGAGTACATGCTTCAATTGTCATGAGAAGTTATTAAATAATTATGTGTCACTTAATGCAGTGTATACCAGTTAACGATGCTGAGTGGGAATCCCAGCTTCAGAAACGCCGTCATGAAACCACCCCATCGTCAATTGAATTATTGGATGCCAATCATTCTCTAGACTTATCACAGATGTTACCTGGTGATATAGTTAATGCTGGACATAACCCTCCAAAAGAAATCCTTGCCGTTGTTCGTCCTGCTTCATACAATTCTGCTGTGGCTTCTATGAAATTGGACCAGAAGTACATACTCAAAGAAAGTTTTGAAATGAGTCTGAACATCAAATTTTCGGCTTCAGATGGAAATGCCAATCATGTTTATTCGAATACAATAAAACCATCATTGCATAAAGGGTTAGTTGGGGTTTACATATTCCCATTGAGAAGTAAGTTGCCGAAGCTATTTCACAAAGCTGGAGTATATTCTTTCCTATTTTCACTTGTAAGTAGCATTATATTAACTCGTGTTTGGTGTTTGTAACTGCATTCCTAGTAAGCTGTATAACCCATTTCTAACCATTGATTTCATAAAATATAATTCTATAGAAACAAACTTCTTGTGCAACTTACGAAAAAAAAGTGCGTGTACAAGCTTTGTCTGAGGCAGTGAGTTGGGGACTTTCAAGTGAAAACAGCATAGAGTATAGAACACGGTAAGGCTTCTTCTGTTTCATACATATTTTTTGCTTCCATGTAAGTTAATTTTCTCTGTTAACTTGTTAGAAATACCAGTTTTTCTCTAGTTTCACATATAAATAGCTAATATGGTATACATTTAATTGTTTGGACAGGGTTGGTGAACCTCTTCCATGTATCAATATTGGCTGTTATGATAGATACATGAACCGCATACCGTTCAAATCTATTGATGATGTTGTAATCAAGATTCGTTCTGAAAGTGTTGGTTTTTCTTACGACCATGCTATGGGTGCAAATACATCACAAGATAAATTTTCTTTACGTATTAAGGTCTATTTTATATATATATATACATATGGTAATACACTGATGACTATTCTTTGCTTCCCATATAAACAGTTTACCTCTTGAAATATCAAATTCTGTAGGGCCTCGTTATTGAAACCAGTGAACTAGACAAGATTGGACCAAACTATGAAACTACTTTGTCTATATGTTCAGATGACGAATTATTTTCTGTAGCCATTCCAGTTCAAGGTACATTTTTTTAGCACTGGAATGCAAACAAATTTCTATTGTATAGCTTCTTGAAAGAATTTCTTAATTTTCTTTTTCCTTTACTTAGTTTTGCCTGGACCACTGCACCATATCAGTGTTCATCCACTAAATTATGGACAGAAATTGTTACCTGGACTTGTGGTTAAGGAGCTTAAATTGGAGGTATGTAATAAAATATATCTATGGTATGTTTGATGTTTTCCATAAGAAAAGAAGGGAGTTAGATGAAATGAATCAATAAAAGATATTTCCTGTTATTCAACAGTTTCTTACATTAATTATATCTCTATAGATGTTGGATGCATATAATAATCATATCCAAAAAGATGAGAAAATCAAACTGCAGATGGATGGATTCTGTGCTTATGATCAAGGTTGCCTTATGTGTAAGGTATTTACCTTTTCTAGATCTTATCAAATTCTCCTTTCGTTTTCAATTTGTTGGCATTTAGAATATAGCAATTGCTTGTGAATGGACCGAAAGCAATGCTCATTGTTCTCCAAGCCAAGCATGAGTAAGAGTTTCTAATCAGTGCTTGTTCCAACACAGGTAGATGAAAATGGTTTTGTAAACCTTGGTGGAGTACTGAAAGTTACAGCAGGATATGGTAAAAAAGGTGCGTTTTTCATACAATTTATCCATTCTGTCACGTATGTGCTTTTCCATGGAAAAAAATAAAAGAAAAAAATAGAAAATATCCATGGCCCTTCATATCCCTACTTTATTCACTTCTAACATTGATTTTCCAGTAACTACTTATTTTTATCATCTACAGCTTCCCTCTCTGTTTTTTCTGGTGATAAAGCCGTTTTCAAACAAGAATTTCAAATTGAGGCAAGAGAGCTGCGAATTGTATCAGAGGTATGTAACTATGTCTCTATTTTATTTTTTTATTTTTGAAAATACAAGGAATTTAAATTGCCTTAAATTGTTGATCCATTATTTTATTGATTGATATCAGATACCTGAAGATTGTGTTCCTGGTTCTCATTTGGAGAACATCATCTTTGAGGTCATAAATTGTGAAGGAGAGGTTGATGAAAGTATCCATGATGATGAAAAAAGTGGTCAGCCCCACACTCTTACTATAAAATCTGAGTTGTTGAAGATAGATGAGAGTGTGAGATACAGCTTCTGTCACGGTCGCTGCACTGTTCGTAGCATCACTCTCCCAGAAGATGAAGGGAAGTTCCATTTTGTAGCACTTCATTCCCGTTACATGGAGTTGCAGTTGCGTATAGAGGTTAGTTGTCATTTCCCCGATATTTCCTTTTTGGTTTTTTTTTTTTTTTGATGTGTATGATGCTAACCATATAATTCTAATTCATATATAGGTGAATACAAAAAAAGCTGTAGAACCAGACTCTGGATATTTCCAATCTCAAAGTCCAGAGAGGCAGATATTAAACCAAGAGGTTGACAATTTCCAATACCCAAGTGCACAGAAGCAGATCTTTCCGTATGAGAATTCACCCCCCTACAAAGTTCCAAAATTGGAGCATGATGAAAGCGAAGCTGATCATATAGTTAATCATAAGGTGAGCTATTTGGACCTTCTTCTAATAATCCAGCTGGTTTATACTGCTTTTGCTAATATTTAATTTAATATATTTGGAATGTTTTTCTGCCCAGATTTTGGAGGATGAAGTTTTCCATTATTCTCAACTCCGTCATCAGTGTGAAATCCAACTGAAAATTCTTGATTCCAAGAAATCAAACATTCAGACAGAAATTTTCAACTTGGAAGGTCAGATATTAATAAGTGTTGTTTGTTGAGCATATAACCATTAATGTGCAGTCTAACTATCAGCTTAGGCTTTTAGTTGAGATGGAGCACATGTTTCAATTTGGTATCAGAGCCATGTCAAAGGTCATCTTTTGAGTTAGTGAGTTTATACCCCAATGACAACTCTTTTTCATTCATGGTGCAGACTCTATTGGACTTTCTTCTTCTCAGAATCGTTGCTGCACTCAAGAATCAATTATGGGGCAGATTAGTGGCATGGGTCACTCAGCAGCTGCCATTGCCTGCAAACTGATCGAAACACCTTCATCATCTGTAGAGCTACATCATGAATTTGCCAAAGAGATACTAGGTGTGGTTGCACTACTTGGATTTGCTGAAAGCATTGAGCTTAGCAGGTTAACACTCTCTTTTCTTTATTTGATGCTTATTTTAAAAACATGTAAATTTTGATTTCACTAGAATTTGGTATATTCTTGGTTTAGGATTTTAGCGGAGTACCTTGGTGAGAAACAAATGCTCGCTGTGGTTTGCAATGCCCATGCATCATCTGTTGGTGCCTCAAAAATGCATGGACACTTGAGCAGTGCAGATGCTCTTAGTACATTGGCTAATAATCTTGGAACCTCTATTAATGGAGGATATGATATGATATGCCTCAATGATATAAGGTAAACTATAATATACACAGACGAGTAGTGAGTACCATTTCTACATGCATTCAAGATTCTTGAAGTGTTAGTTGTTTTGCAGGCCTTACACAGGTGAGTTGAGCATTGGTCCCCAAAGAAGGCTAGCACTAATGAATCCTGCTTTACCAAATGGGGAGAGCCCTCCAGGGTTTTTGGGCTATGCTGTCAATATGATTCACATATCTGCAAAACATTTGCAATATAGAACGGCCTCGGGTCATGGTCTTCGCGAGACTCTATTTTATCGTCTTCTGGGAGAGCTCCAAGTCTACGCAAACAGAGATTGCATGAGCATGGCTAGTTCCTGCTTTAACAACAACCCCGCTGTTTCTTTGGATGGTGTCATCATGAGAGGAAATGGTGTCACAACCCACGCGTTTGGGTAAGTGTCTACTACATACTATATGAGATCGAACGAGCACACTTTCTTAATTATTTATTTTATTTGGTGCAATCTTATTTATGCGCTTTCCTCTTCAGGGATCCATTCATTATGTTTCCAGTCTTCTCAAATGAGCAGCTGATGAATCTGATGAGAGTGAATCCAGATGTAATAAATCTGCTCAAATATAAGAAGATACAACTCGGGGAGGTTCAAAATCATATTGAAAACGAAACAATGGCATATGAGGAAATCAATAAAAAGTTTATCGGTTATCGTGATGCATATGTCAACTTAACTCAGGGAAGTAGTAGTGTGCAAGATACATAGAGTTAGGCCAGGCCAGGTTAAATATGAAAAATATTGAAAATATATAGATAGTGAATGATGGTTTATATCAATTTTTGTTGGGGTTAAAAACTATTATGTAATGACATTAGTGCAAAAGTTCACCTCACCTTCGGGCTCCATGCATGCGGGATGTGTATAGTTTTTGTACGTTGTCTATATTAATTTCATAAATTTGAACCCTTTAACAATTGACATAATGATATTTCTTCATGTCGATCAGATGACAAATAACATTTTAATTCATATTGCAAGTCTTTAAGTATGAACTCTATAATTATATGAACTATGACTAATGAATTTTTTTAGTGTAGAGTATTTTAAAATCTTATTTATTGTTTTCAAAAAAAAAAAAAAAAAAAAAAAGGCTAAAGTATCATCCAGCACCCTGAACTATAATGAATTTTCCATGCCGCACCCTGACCTTTCATAAGTGATATTTAAATCCACAAACCATTAAATTTTTTTCATCTAGAAACTTTTTATAGAATCGAATCGAATCGTGCACTGTTGAACCGGAACCGGGAAAACCGAAAAAAAAAACAAAAAAAAAAAAACTAAAGTATGTTTGATACATTACATCATGCCCAAAAATTGAAAAGCATAGTTTTATTATTATTATTATTATTATTATTATTATTATTATTAAACAAGTTTACTGAGCAAGACCAAAGCCTGTATAATAGCTATATGTATATCCAGATGCATATGAACAGATTCAAGTTAAACATTCAGTGCAGGTATTTTTTAGTTCAGTTAAAGACTATATAATAGTTATGCATACTTTACAAAACATTATTGGTCTCAAACTATCTAGTTCCTTATTAAGTTAAAAGGATACACATCATCTTTGGCCTCTATATCAAACTGAACCACTATTTAAACAAGTCTAGAATAATCAAGTGACAGTTTTATGTGAAAATGGAAAATGCCACAAAAAATTTGATAGTTGACTTGAAAAACCAACAAATTAATCAACTTCAAAAGTTGATACCTGATTAATCTCCTCTCATTTTCATGATTAAACCATACAGCTTGCAATGAATTATCCTGATAAGCACATACATAAAGTGAGTCACTACAAAATTATTATATTGTATATGAACCGAAAGTGAAATGCTTACAATTAAGTCAGCAAGGGCAGATTCAAATGAGTATTCTTCAGGTAACTCCTTTAACAAATCAGTATCTGGAGTAAGATCCCACATATTCTACAAAACCCAAAAAGGAGAAGTCACTTGCTATTTGAATCAGGCAGACTGAGCAAAGATTCACATTCTTAAAATAGCAAAATAAAATAAAATAGCAACAAACCTCAAATGTTTTTGCTTCAACTGTGCCATCCTGTATTGAAATGGAATTTAATTATCAAAATGAGCAAAACGAAAAGAACAGAAATATGTAAACAGAAAGGCAAAAAACTGACCCGAAGCCTTAACAAATAGGATTCTCTGGGATTGTACTTGCTGAAATCCAAGTCAAAAACCTTCTTGTCAAAAGGATCCAAAATATACAAGTTGGGGCACTTCCAATTAATCTGCTTCCTGTGCGACTCAGTTCTGCACTTCAAGGCTAAATACTCTCCCTGTATAGCTTCCAGAAGCTGATCAAAGGACATAGCACTACCGGGTTCGCGGATTTTCATCTCCAAAGTGGTACCGTTTGGAAGAAGAACTCGAAAACTAAATGTTTGACCTTTCTAAACATCGCTCAGCTCGTATCTTCTTCATCCAATAATTAAACTCATCAGCATTGTATTTCTATCTACAACTAGTATTTGCGCACGTGCGTTGCACGGAATGAGAGAATACGTGCCTTCAAAAACTATTTTAGCATGGAAGAGAAGAGGGAGAGGGGAATGGTGGAAAATGGACAGACATGCATGATATATATATATATATATATATATATATATATATATATATATATATATATATATTACGGCTCAGGCTATTGTGCGCCGGTATGCGTAAAGCCATCGGCTGCGGGGTGTAATGTAATTTGTTGTGTGGAATGCGTGCTCATATCCCTTTTCCGTACGATGCGTAAGTTAGCATTGCCTTATATTGTAAGTGGTAACGCTCTTGCTAAATTGTGCTGCGATGTGCTATTGGATGGTTGCCAGTTGCCACGCTGCACTTGCATCGCACGTGTAATATAATAATAATAATAATAATAATAATAATAATAATAATAATAAAACAAAATCCTCCTAACTAAATTTTTCCCTCAAAACTTAAGGACATTTATGTAAATTCATATATATTTCGTGTGTAAAGTTTATGAAAAGAATATTATAATAATTAATAATTAATAATTAAATTCATAAATATGCAGTGTGAAGTTTAGCTGTAATTGTAAGGAATATTCCTAAATAATATCAATAACAATATATCAATAATAACAATTTTTACGTGAATTATAAATAAATTAGATAGTAGTGTAATAATTAAATATGGTAATAACTAACAATTTGCTATTTAAACCCACCATTCTGCTAAACCCAAAGCTGTCAGCTACAAACGTATTTTTGCATTTGTACTCTCCTCTTTACACTGACTCTCAATGGCGGCTGAATTTCACACCGAGATTCTTGATAATCAACTTCGTATCTGACTGCGGTGGAATTCAATACGATTTAGAGTGCTTCGTGTCGTTCGTCTTCCAGAGGCAATAGGTTCTCAAACAATTAATTCTATAGAGTGTGTAGTACATGATGTAGAGGTATTTTTTTTACTGTAATATTATTCTTAATATTTTGTATTTCTAAAATTTTAGTTGATGCATATGTTTTTTTTTGTTTATAGTTTTAGGGAACTTTTATACATATGCATATTCCACGATTGTATGTTCAAAAGTGGTTCAACAAATTTAAAGAAGGCAAAATTTATCGAATAAATAGATTTGAGATGGTTTATAATGAGTATAGAAACAAAACTACTAATCTCAGGTATATGTTGATGTTTTGTGATATAACTTCTGTGGGAGTATTGAAAGATGCATATTTCCCAACACATGTTTATGACAGAGAAGATTATGATTTCGTTGAAGAGGTTGTCTATTGCTTACTTACATTGTTGTTGTTGTTGTTATTTTTTATTTTTTATTTTTTTATATAACTTTATTCACGTATTTAAATTTTCCTAACTTTCACGATTCTCTGGATGGACATGTGCCTGAACCTCCGGTTAGAAATTTGGATAATGAGGATTCAAATAATGAGAATTCTGCTTAGAGATGAATAACAACGAATATGTCAAGAAATTTACGTTTGTTATGTTATTTGTTATTATTTTTATTCCTACAATTTAATGAATTACGTTATAATATTTAACTTTTTTTTTTGAATTACTGTGTATTCCGTAAATATACCGTGTGTGACTAATTAGTTATGGAAAGAAAGAATATTATGATAATTAATTAATTAATTAATTAATAAAATTTATTCTATGTGAAGTTTAGTTGACTAAAACTTAATTCATTATAGAAATTATATATTCATAACCGTGTGTATATAATTACTCTATATATATTTCATAAATATTCCGTGTGTGAATAATTAGTTATGGAAAGAAAGAATATTATGGTAATTAGTTAATTAATTAGTTTATAAAATTTATTATGTATGAAGTTTAGTTGACTAAAATTTAATTAATTACATAAATTATATATTCATAATCGTGTGTATATAATAACTCTCTCTCTCTCTCTCTCTATATATATATATATATATATATATATATATATATATATATATATATATATTAAATATTTTTATTTACGTATTACCGTACATATTACGTATTCCCATACTTATTATTTTAACAACCATATATATATATATATATATATATATATATATATATATTACACAGAATATTTTAAATATATACTAATTAATTATGGAAAGCATATTATGGTAATATTAGGGTATTCCGTATATGTTATTATTTATTAGCATAATATATATACAACCAAAAATAATATAATCATAACATTTCCTTGTGTGACTAATTAGTTAGAGAAAGAATGAATATTATGATAATTAATTAGTTTATAAAATTTATTCTGCCTGAAGTTTAGTTGACTAAAATTTAATTAATTATAGAAATAATATTTTCATAACCGTGTGTATATTTTTTTTTTAAAAAAAAAACCAATCTTCCGATTGTATTAATTGATCAAAGCTATAATAGAGTCGGACGGGATAGAATCCCAATACATAGAATGATCCTGAGTGAATGCTAAAGAAGCTAAAGTATGAGCATGCAAATTAATCTGTCTATGAACATAGTTTAACGAAATAGAACTAAACAACGACATAATAGTTCTGCATTGGTCAATCACGACCCCAACATATGAGTAAATGGGTGTGGTGTGCTGTTGCATGGTACTCCGCAAAACCATACAATCCGTGAGACAACTTGCTGTTGTGATATTCCTTTCTGCAAGCCAAGAAAGTGCCTCCTTATAGGCTAGAGCCTCGGCAATGAGTGGTGAGTTACAAAACTGCAATTTGCTGTTTTTTGCCGCTACGAAGGTCCCCTTGGGTGAAATTAGAACAATTCCATACGTGGCCTCCCCGGTTCCTTGGCGAAACCCCGCGTCCACATGGCAACGCAACGTGGCGCCGTTCTCGTGCTGATCTTGGCCCGTACTCGGCGTCGGTTCAGGCAGTGGGTGGCGGTAATGTGCTGTGCCGAACGCCCTCTCCGCCACTGCCGCACAGTGGACCACAACGGTCGGCCGCACCATGGTCCGTTCCCACACAGCCGCATTGCGGCTTCTCCAAATACTGTATAGGACCGCTATCATGAGCCGTGTTTGCTCCTTCGTTAGGACCATCATAGCCGCCGTTAACCATGTTGAAAAGGAATCTGTAACAATATTTGTTATAGGCAATTGTGTTATATTCCATACTAGTGTAGAATATTCGCAGAACACTAAAGCATGCAACACATCTTCATGATCTAAAGCACACATTGGGCAAAGAGGGTCCACTTCCACCCTTTTAATAATCAAATTCGTGGTAGTGGGTAAGATATCACATATGGCTCTCCACAAAAAGGTCTTCCATTCGGGTGGGACTTTCAACTTCCACATCTTCACCCATTTATCAAAAGTTCCTGGATTACTTTCATATTCACCCACAATTCGCCTATAAGCATTCTTAACCGTATATGTCCCTTTCGGGTCCCCCATCCAATACCATGAGTCATCATAGTCAGGGCTTACAGGGATCTTAAGTATTCGGTTCACATCCTCCGGGATAAAAAGATCAGATAAGATATGTGGATCCCATGTGCTTGATTGTGGATCAATTAGACCTGCCACTCGCGCCTCTCTTAACTCTTCCAGCATACTTGTTTGTATCAAGGGGCTAGGATCATCCGGCAGCCATGGATGACCCCATATCAGAGTTGACTGCCCATTCCCAATTCTGTGTCGCACCCCAGCCGTGACTATAGGGTGAGCTGCCATTATACTCCTCCAACAGAAACTCGGGCATCTCTCAATAGTAGCATCAATAAAACCTGTAGTGGGGTAATAGCGGGCCTTATATATTCTTGCGGCAAGTGATCCTGGATTGGTAAGAAAACGTCATGCCTGTTTTCCCAACATAGCCAGGTTAAAAGCTCTTAATTCCTTAAAACCCAAGCCGCCATACTTTTTAGGGACACACAACCTATCCCATGCCTTCCAATGTATTCCCCTGTCTCTTCCACTTCCCCACCAGAATTTATTCATGGTTCGCTCAATGGACTGACAAACTGTTTCAGGCAACAAAAAGACACTCATTGAAAACGTAGGCATAGATTGTGCTACGCTTTTCAATAACACTTCCTTACCCGCCTGAGATAACATCTTTTTACTCCATGATCCAATCATGTGCCTGATTTTTTCCTCCACATAAGCAAACACAGCTCTCTTATTCCTGCCCACAAAAGATGTCAGGCCAAGGTACTTTCCAAAGTTGTCAGCCTGCTCAACCTCCAGGCGTCCTGCAATTTGCATTCTATCCACCCTTGCAGTATTCCGGCTAAAACATATATTGGACTTATTATAATTTACCACCTGCCCAGACAACTTTTCATACCTTATCAAACATTGCTTTATGGCACCAGCTTCCTGAGTATTTGCTTTGAAAAAAAGCAGACTATCATTTGCCAAAAACAGATGTGATACTGGAGGTGCCCCTTGGCCACTCTACACCCGTGAATTGATCCTGTCCCCTGTTCCTTTTGCAACAACATCGAAAGCGCCTCAGCACAGATAATGAATAAATAAGGGGAGAGAGGATCCCCTTGTCTTAGACCACGAGTCGGCTTGACCCGCCCCCCTACCTCACCATTAACCATCACAGTATAATTCACAGTTGTCACACATAGCATTATGAGCCGGATCCACTTGTCACTAAACCCCAATACAACCAACATCCTCTCCGGGAAACTCCACTCCATTCTGTCATAAGATTTTGACATGTCTAATTTCAATGCACTCCAGCCCACAGCTCCACACTGTTTCCTGTTCAAGTAATGCCCCACCTCCGCGCCCGACCAAGATGTTATCCATTATTAGCCTGCCAGGAATAAAAGCACTTTGGGACTCAGAAATAAGATCACCCATAAGTGATTTCATTCTATTGGTCAACATCTTAGCCATAATTCTATATATGACATTACTTAGGGCAATCGGTCTTAAATCTGCAACTGTTTCAGGCACTTCCTTCTTGGGTATTAAGATTATGTTGGTGTCATTTAGCCCCTCTGGGAATTCACCTGTATTTAATGCATGTGTTATAAACCGAGTCACATCCTCTCCAACTACTGACCAAAATTGCTGATAAAGGCCCGGATTCATCCCATCCGGGCCCGGCGCTTTATCCGGAAACATTGAGAAAAGAACTGCTTTATCCTCCTTATTAAACGGCCGATCCAACATCACATTTTACTCATCAGTCACACGTGGGGCAAAATTATCAAAAAGGGGATCATCACAACATAAATTATTAGAAGCAAAAATACCCGTAAAATAACTCAAAACCGCTGCATGCATGTCGGTGCCCTCAACCCAATCACCAACATCATTCTTTATACTAGCAATATAGTTCTTTTTTCTACGCGTAGAGGCATACCTGTGATAGAACTTAGTGTTGGCGTCTGCACCACGGATCCAATGTTGCTTTGCTCGTTGTCTCCAAAACACATCCTCCTGGGCCTCCAACTATTTAAGCTGATTCTCAAGTAGTTGATATTCGGCCAGGGCTACTGAGTCACGCGTGTTTTGAAAACTCTCCTGCTTCCTCCGTAACTGTCTGATCCGATCACCAAACTTATGGAACTGATCCCCTCCCCACCGCATCAACTTCATACCACAATAATTCTGACAGTGTAATAAACCATCCGTCCTCCCCTCCTGCCAGGCTGTCTCAACCACCTCCCTACAGCCCTCATCCAACAACCATGCTATCTCAAACTTGATCTTCCTCGGTCCCATATCCCTACGCGTGCAAATTGCAGTGATACTTAGGAAAAGAGCCGAATGATCCGAAGCTCGAGTCTGTAAATTTTCCACCCATGCATTCTCATTCATATCACCCCAGCCATCCGTTACTAAGACCTTATCAAGCCTCTCCTGTATCCAATTCAGTGTGCCTTTTCCTTTATCCCATGTAAATTGCCGGCCCCTCATCGGCATCTGCATCAGACCACATCCATCTACGGCCTCCCCAAACCCCCGTAGGAGCCTATTAGGGTACGGGTCCCCCCCCCCCTTTCTCATGCTGATAAAGGAGATTATTAAGATCCCCAATCACCACCCATGGCAACGCAGATCTATCCTTCAAACTAACAAGCAGGTCCCAGGATTCCTCCCTCCTGTTCCGATCCGGACAACTGTAAAAGCACGTCATGCGCCAAACCTTATTCGAAAAACTGACCTCCACATCAATATGGTTCTGCGAGTAACTTAACAATCTGACCGTGTTATTTTTCTTCCAGAAGAGAGCCATGCCCCCACTTAATCCTTCATTATTTACATAAAACAAGCCATCATACCCAAGCCTGACACGGATCCGCTTCGCATGTATCCGTCCCACCTTGGTTTCCATCAAGAACACAAACTCGGGCTTCTTACAGGACACAAAGTCCACCACCTGTCGAACTGTGCAAGCCACGACAGTTCCAGCTTAACGTACTCATGAGGATGGGCGGGGCTGGACACCAGCTCCCGCCATAGGCAAATTTTTTGAACTCTCGGTCATTGCAACATCTCCTCCTCCTACCCCACCCCCGCCCTGCATTCCCTGCCTCCGGCGTTTCGCCGAAGCCACCAGTGTTTCCACCTCCGACAAGCCACCCGGCCGCGTCCCACTCGCCCCAATTATACCATCCTCCACTCTTTCGGTCACCACTGCCCTAGTTTCCATTGGACGTGGTTTCCCGCCAACCGGCACGAGCCAGCTATCCCCAACCGCTCTAGGAGCGCTCCGAGATCCACCAGCTCGCATATCCGGCCCATACGGGTACCTTTCCAACGGGATTCCTGCTTCCCTAGCTCTTAGGCAGAAAGTATGCAAATGCCCATAAAACCACAGAAGTAGCAAAACTTATGCAACCGCTCATACCTGAAATTAACCCATGCCGTGGTTTTGTCCCTTTTCATCAACTTCATCCTCCTCCTGAGTGGCCTATCAATCGGAACCGATACTCTAATTCGATGAAACGTTAGCCATGGTGCCCCCTCAAAACGATCATCATGCTTAACAAACGAACCCAGAAAATTTCCAGCCTGTTCCAGAATCGCCTTAGATGTATACCCTTTCGGCATATCATGCAGTTGTACCCACATATCCAACGTATCAAGCTTCACATCCCCCGGGTTCACCCCATCCACCACCTCGCGGCATACTATGGCATTGTTCTCAAATGCCCATGGACCACCATTCAAGACATACTCCATATCTGTCTTGTGAAAGAAAAACCGTGTGTATATAATTACTCTAATTATATAAATACTATATTTTTATAACTGTGTGTATATAATTATTGCAATCTATCTATATATCTATATATCTATATATATAATTAAAAGTAAAATCCTCCAAACCGAAATTTCCCCCCACCATTAGGTATGCATAAATGCACAACACAGTGTTCATAAATACACTACATTTCTATAAATCAAACTTCATCTAGAGCACACATTCGAATAGTGACCGTAAATATTTCTATAAATCAAAGAAGAACAAACTTGAGTGTAGTAAGGGTGCAATTGTAACATCCCCTAATTTCCATGCTAAATTAAGCCTTAGACATGCAGATAACTTGTCATAACATCATACACAGCGGAAGACTAAACAGGGAATAAATGAATAGGAAATAAAGGGTGCTATGCCACGCCTACTCAAAGGTGAACACACAGGCAAAACATCTGCATAAATTCACAATCTAAATTCAATCAGGAACAGGAGTACTAATGTATAACATTGGCACACAGGCCACAACATCTCAAAATAAAGGGATCTAAGCTAACAGGTTCTAGACCACGCTCTCGTCTACTCATCACCTGAAAGAAACACATAAGATATGGGACGACGCCTGGTTAGTGAATGATGCTGGTAACCCACCAATACATGTGAAATATCATATGTAGATAGTTTATATGTATACAAAATCATTCACGAAATAGGATATAGTATATATCAATTTCGAAAGCCAAGATAGAGATCAACACAAGACTCTATGCACTCACAAAAGATAAGGGAACACATCCCAATACGACAAGAAGCAATAACGACTCACAAGAACGGCCCAAGGTATAATCTACCATCACACAGTAGATTAACACCCGACATGCATAACACAAAGAATAGGGACACACCCATTGGCAACACATGCCTTTGTGACATCACATGTCACAAATAAAGAAATACACAACAATGGCTACACAAGCCTTCGTGACATCACCCATCACGAATTGATATGCTTTCCTTATGCCCGGTTCCAACCTTATGGCTACCCCCAACCTTATAGCTAGTTCCAACCTTTACCTCCAGGACCCCTGTACACCAAGTCCAACCTTTTCCCTCCGAGGACCGTCGTCCCCATCCGCCTACAAACCGCCAACAAAACCACCAATTCATAGTACACGAGGGTACTGATCACACACATGGCAACACATGCCTTGGCAACACATGCCTCCCAAGAAATACGTGAACCCGACACACAGGTCACAAACTCCATAATCGCGTCATGACCACCACGAGGACCACTGTCGTACCTTGGTGACTAATATCCCATACCATTAATCGTGCAATCCAGGTACAGCCACACACACAACACCATCACAGGAATCAATCAACAGATCACAACGAAGATATGAAACCATACTCAACAAGGAATGGATCACAGTCCAACAACAACGATGATTAACACAAGTCATCATCCACCAAAGGAAAGTACGAACAACACACATGCTAG